AGCTCCTGAATAGTTCAGTGGCTCGTACTCTAACAGGAGAGATAGACATTCATAGAATCTGTTAAAATTTAGAGGCGTCAGAAGTGCTCCACCAGCTTTTTGTTAAGACAGGGCCTGACAGTCTCAAATTTCATGAATATAAATATAAGCAGAGATTCATATAGTGTTACTATTTTCTCTACATGTTCAAGAATACAGAGTACTCTGAGTCTGGAAATTGTAAAATGGTGTAGTTCCTTGTTTAACTGCAACACATTCCTGACGAATTTACTCAAATAATTGAGAGTTCACAGCGAAGTTGGGGGAGCTGGCAGCGGTTACTGAGCCTAGGCAGCGAGACTGAAAACTTCCATATCTCAAAAAGGAAATGTCAGAGTAGGAATTTTTCCTAGGCCAGTTGCCTAGACTTGCTACTGACAAGCCCAGCATTGGTGACAGTGATTGTCCTCTACTCCAATTGAATTTGGAAGTATCTGGAGTAATCCAGAAAGAGGAGACAGACCAAGTGACAGCTCACAAGAACTCAGAAGAATTTATGTCTGTGAAGTGATGAAGTTGCACAGGTACAAGGAAGTAGAAAATTGTATCCGAGAAGTTCTGTGGGTTTATTCAGTTGTTCATTGATGAGACCCATTTATTTCCATGCATTTCCATAAAATCTCAGCAAGAATGAAACCAAAATCTCTGCTTTATTTCTGTAAGCCAGACACTGCAGTATTCTAAAGTATGAGAATTCAAAAAAGGTTATATTCAGACGTCACAAATGATTCTGGATCCCTTCCATCAAGATATCTAATTTACAAAGATTGCTATCTGTCCTTTGAAAAAACAGATCCTTTTTAGTTGGAATTACTACGTTCCCCAAAACTGAGACATTAACATTGCTAGCTACTTTTCAAATGCAGAATTGCTAGCTACTTACAAAACTGGAAGTGTCTAGTTTGTTTACATAGCGGAAGTCTGTATAGTGAAAACTAAGGTTGATGGTTTAGACTATTTCAGTTTTGGCAAATACGAGTTGGTTGGAACCATCATAAATATAAACATCAGATCTAGATTGCTTAGGTGGATAGTTCTCTAAAATATGTTAAAAGAGAAGTAGAAAGATGGTAGAAAGACAGCTCAGTTTTTTATTCATATAGCATATAAACATGCCCACCAAAGTCACCAGGAGTTTCTCCAGCAGGACTCTCACAGTGGTTAGCTCCTCTCCTACTGGAAAGATTCTTAGTATTTGTTTTTTCATCTGAGTAGACATCAAGTGTCTTTCACCCCTTTGGCCTCTCAGTGGTATTTCCCAAATACAAGTGCCATACCTGTCACCCCCCTCTGATGGAAAAGTAAAGTTCAGAATGCTTTATGTCCTTTGAACAAGTATTGACTTTCCAATATGCCCCAGCATTTTCTTTTTAAAAAATCTCTTTCTGGGAGTTTTCAGTTTACAATATATAACTTCATATGCAACTGCATATGAAGGTGCAGCAAGCAAAACCATAGACTGTACAAAGGTTCTGATAAGCAGCTGACAAGCAGCTGCTCTTTGCTTCAGCAAGCACAAGCAATACACAGTGCTAGATAAAAGAAGCCATGATTTCATAACTCAGGTAGCAGATTGCGACCCCAAAGAACTGGAACTTTTTTTTTTCTGCCCAAAATGACAGTATAATATTGGAAATTCAAGAAAACTAACCTTTTCATTGAACATTGTATTGTAATTTTCTGAATTCATGGGCTCCCGCCCCCCTCCGTCATTTTTGGGTCTGAAGCTAAACTCAGTAGAAGATATTCTCTAAAAAAAGGAAAGCCTTATGGAACACATTGCTTTAAAAATCAGGCCACAGGTATATCATAAGTTGATAACATTATTATCCCAGTATGTGAGTTTTATTATTTGTAGCTTTTACCTTTCGATCTTTTATATACAAGCTATAAGCTCCATAGATCTGGTTGTTACACTTCTAAAATATAGGCTCCCTGAGAAGATATAAAAGGTATCTGCACTATTCTTGTTTCCTTGAGGCAGCATTCCCCTGAGAGTTGACCAGCATTAAGAATTTGACTCTATTTAAATCTTGAATAAACATTCTTTTGTTTCATAATTTGCAAGCTTGAACAACTTAATGAACTTTTTCCTTTACACAATATGTAGGCTTTATAATTAATGAGAGGTCCGCATGACAACTTTTGTTCAAAATCCTCTCATACTTGCATTATTATCAGGGTCAAAATGCAGAGGCTCCAGCATGAGAATGGAAATGCCTATTTCTTGTGCTCACTTTCTGCCCTACTGGGCAGCTGTAACAGACACTGATCCTTGTTAAATGGGGAAGATACTGAACAAAATGTCACAAGAAAGCTTCTTGCACTTTGTGAAGACTTGGAACTGCACATGCACTTTGGGTCTCTGACGGATCTGGCAGTAATTGCAGGAAGACTAGCAGCTGATGTGATGCCAGAAAGCAAGAAGTTGTGAGCAAGAAACATATTGGGATTGAGACAGAGCTTGACTTTGCACAAGCCATACTTAAACAAGTGCCATGACTTTGCAGAGGCCAGTAGCCCAAAGACACTTGGCTTCTGTTTTCATTTTTAATCATTTTGTTCCAAGCACGTATAAACAATACCTAATTGTAGGAAAGCTGGGAGGCAAATTTCAACTCCAGAGAGTATGTAAAAGGGTAAAGGAAACACTGATGTAAGTAAGGGAGAACAAGGCTTAAGAGGAAGTACTATCTGCACAGCCTCAAGAGACTCAGCAGCAAATACGCCAACAATTTTCAAACATAATTACGATGTGAAAAGAAATTAGGAGAAAAGTAAAGCCCCAAAAGAGATACTAAAAATACCACAGAAAATAACGAACTGAGCAGGAAAAAAAGATATTAACGTCAATAGACGAAAGAGTAAACCAGCAAAAATACTTCAGATATCTTTAACTTTAATGAAATCACCCAACAGAATCCTCATTTTATTGTGGATCTTATAATCTTTGGCGTGGTTAAACTCCTATTTACGGAGTCAAGTGTTAGCATGAGTATGTCAGCTTTCATTTCTGAAAGAGAAAGTAAGTTTCTAGCTATTAAATCTATGAAGAAAAAAAAACCAAACATTTACTTTAATTCTTGCAGTTGAAACCAGCCTCCTAATTCTAGAAAGCTCAATTCATTATTTTCAAGGATTTTTTTTTGTATTGGATATTCCCAATTTTTGCAAAATGTGATCAAAGTGTCATAATTCAGGGGAACTCGAGTAATCATTTTTTAAATATATAATAATAATAATATTATTATTATATAATTCTTAAGAGAAAATCGTCATGTTAAAACAGAGTTCCTCTTACTTTTCTGTAACTTTACAGAGTGATGATAATTTCAGAACTGTGTGGAGCAATGAATCTAACTTTACGTTTTGAATGTAAATGAGAAAGAAAGGACAAGAAACAGTCATAATTATTATGACTGTTATAATTCATAAATAAGGCATATGCGCTTACTTAAAATACACTGTTTTGGACTTGAAAAGACTGCCTAGAAAAACAGATTCTCTCCTGTGATTTCAGTAGAGATCTGCTACATTTCAATGTCTCAACTTTTTCTTTGTACTTGCAAGACTTCTTGACTCCACTTTAAAATATCCTTGAAAAAGAACTACTTTTCCTACAGATTTCAAATCACACAAATGCAGGAAATTATTATCATAACTGTTCTATAAATAACCTTGTTTTGATGGATTAGTATTTCCAGTTCTTCTAACTTTGCACTGATTTTGTGGTGACAATTCTTGCTGAAAAGGTAAAAAAATATTCTTGAGCTTCCAGCTATTTCAACAGCACCTCAGGAACTGATGATTCCTTAAAAATGTTCTGAATCAAAGTGAGTGAAATCCAGTTAAAAATATCACTTATTAGGAAAATGTTCTGTTGGTGATTTCTCAGTGTCACATGGATTCTCTGCATGGAGAAATGAGTACATGAACAAAACAAGGAAGATAGCCCTTAATCGTGAAACAGGCAGGCCCGACCTTGTCTCAGCATTTAAGATGAGATCAAGTGTGAGGAAGGATTTCTCAATTATTTTTTTGTGCGTTTCTTATTTATAGTATGCTGTCATTCAACTGGCAATTAGAAATTCTTCCCCTTGTAATTGCCGCCTGAACCAGCAATTACCTCAAACAGTGTAAGTGATTTAACTTAGCTCTATTTAAAAAGAATAATTCAACAACAGCTGAAGGCCTGATGGAAGAGAATCTTAAATGACAGTACCTGAAATCAAATGTCTTCGGTGTACGCGGTGCTGAATATGAAAAAGCCCTTCTTATAGCAAAAAAGCTGCTTTCAAAAAGTATTTACTTGCAGCCGACTTAGACAAGTGCCTAATTCCTATATGTATTACCACAAAATAGTTCAAACTAGTTATACATCTGTATAAGAACACTTTTTATATACATCTGTAGCTGTCCTGAAAAATTCAGTTTGCATCCATGTCTGATAAACAGATAGGTGCATATTTGCATTGTAAATCCTGGCATTGTAGCAGTGGTCAAGGGAATGAACAGCATTTTGAAGTTAACATTTGTGGTGGTGTGTCGTGAGAGCTTTCAGGAGTATCTGATTTTTCATGAAGAGCAGCAGATACCTACGTCACTGGCAGCGTTACTTTTCTCAAATTCTTCAGTTGTGCTTTTTAAATTAAAACAAAGCTTACCTGAACTGTTCAACAGCATTAAATATGTTACTACACCCCAAGCTCTCCGCACCGTGAATATGTTACCCTTTCATCTAAGCAGAGAGCAGCTAAAGCGACAGCTCTCAGTGGTGACTGCTCTGACTGCAAATCCTGACTTTCCTTGCCTCCCACCTTAACACATCTGCTTTAAGTGATTGCTTTCCTGATAACTGCCATGAAGAAACTTTTACTGTAGTAAAAGTGAGGCTGAGCAGGGAGAAACAAATACTACCTTAACAGATCCTTTCTCTCTCACAGTTGGCACGCAAACTTGATGTTCACAGAGAGGGTGCTCTCCCAGAGTCTGAGATGTGTTTATTTGTCGCTGGGGTCACCTCTGAATAGATCTGAGCAAAGGAGATTGGAGGCAGAGGTGAGAATCAGCATTTTGCTGTTCTCTGTGTTACTTTGAAACAACGCTGACAATTCAGTTACGTGACCTATCCTTGAAGGTTCTGCTCTATACGCAGACAACTAACTGCATGGCGTGATTAGTAGAAAAACTGGGCACTTTTTGACTTCATTGAGAACTGTGAGTAATTACTGACATTCAAACTTGTATCTAAAAATTGTTTAAATGACGATTTCTATGCTAAACGGTGTAGAACAAAATCCTCGTAAGCCCATAAACCCTGTCTGAGTATAGATCAAAACTGAGGCAATAATTCAGTTTCATTCTGAGTATACCCTTATGTGTTCTGTGCATTGTTAGTGTCTTCTTTTTGGTTAGGACAGAGCCTGCAATCTATAATTGTAAGTCCAACACCTAGTGCAGTGAGGGTCTGACTGGAATACCTTCAATTCAGTAGGAATGTCAAATTAATTTGTTTAAATAAATCCTCACCTTAGTCATGTAAAAGATCAACTGTGAGGCAAAGTTCTAAAATCCTTTCTGGTAACAGGAGTTTATCTGAGAAAAAATATAATAAAAAGTGTTCAAAGTCTCCTAGAATTGGAATATGGTCTGTGAAAACATGTTGACAAATGATTAACAGAAAAAATCCCTATTGGACCCAGGACAAGCAGAAAGAAAATTTTATAACAGCTCTCAGTATGTAGTTGTTATCCTACAATATTGCATGCCTTTGTAAAGAATTTTTAGTTCATTCTTCTTTATATGGAGTAGCAGATGTTAAAAATATCATGCAGAAAAGCCCTGGAATATTTATCTTATATTATTTGTTCTTTAGAAAGAACTCAAAAGGGTAGAGGATTGATCCATTGTTTAGAAGTTAGACCAAATTATAAAGGTAGAGGATGAAGATAATATTGTTCTATTTTTTTTTCCAGAGAGACATGATTACAGTAATTTTTACCAATAGCTGAAAGGATGCAAAAGAGACAAACCGTAGCTTGAGATATGAAATTAGAATCTCTAAAATGAACTTCTGTGGTCAGTGACATACCTGTTAGGGCCTGGCGGAGACAGGTAACTTGTTGGTAGAGCGCACGAACACCAGTGGTAATACAAGGAACATTGCAAACCATAATAAGCGCTGCTGAACAGCAGTCCAGACACTCTTTACTGCTATCAATTTACACGGGTTCAAAAAGTAATGCAAAAAATTCTTGGGGAAAAAATCTATTTAAAACTATTCAGTACAAAAAGGTCTTGTTCAGTAAGTCTATAAGCTGCAGCCTGCTATAGACTGGAGGAGTACTCAGTGGAAGTTTGCCCTGTTCTTATTATTATTTAAGCAAATCTTATTTGCCAGTGTTCAGGATGCTAAGCTAGATGGACTTTTTGCTTGATCTTGTACTATTGTTCTTATATTCTTGCAGAAATTAGATGTTTCAAGTAATAAAAGACCCTGAATTTACATCTTATTGAGTAAATTGTGGTCACTGAAATGGAACGGAGTATAATGAGCCTGGATCTCTTACTCAGTTACGATCCTCTCCCGGTTATGATAAGAAAAATATCACAGTCCAGCAGAACAGAACAGCAGTTCTAGGAATAAACAGGAGAAAGCCAATTTAAGATAAGTTGTATGAAATAATTTTCTCTCTTTTACTAGCTTGTTCCGTTACACTTGCTAGAGCTCTTGCTTCTGCAAGTATCCTGTCATTTCAACTCATTTCACTTTGGGGTAGTTTGAAGAATAATTTGGCTAAAGAAAAGTACAAGATACAACTATTTTGCAGAGTTGATCTTGTGGGCAGATGTTATGATTGCTGCTGGTCATTTGGCACTCCATCATTTATTTGTTGTGTAGATGTGCCTTTTTTCATGTCTGTATTGGGTGAGGGATCTCTACCCCTAGAGATTATGGCAGGCGCATTCAAATTGGGTGGATTAATTAAAGGAGTCATAATGAGTTTTTCCATGAACACTGCTAAATGAGAGTTGAGTGTACTACTTGTTTGGAATAGCTCATTTGATTCTGGAATTAGAAAACAGAGTCACATGGGATGCTTAACAGGGTGATACCTTTCATTGTTTTAATTTTTTCAGAGGGAATCATAATTAAAATTAATCAAGAGTCTCAAGGCTCTAAGAGTGTGACTTTTGTAATGAATTTTAAATTTGCTTTCCTATTAAGATTTTTTTAATGACTGAAGTATTCAGGAAATATTCGGGTAATCTTCAAATATTTACAAATAACTCCTGTCTACTATTTGTGATCCTCCTTTTGCACTGTTCTTTAACCCTGTAAAGTCAAAAGAGCCTTTATTTTATTTAAAATAGAACCTTCTTCTATATGTCTAACAACTTTTCTTTCCATACCCTGGAATACTTATTCATAGCCATTGGTATTCTCTTTATCTATTATACCCCCAAATTTCTCATTTCTTTCTACATAGAAATCTGTCTTTCTCTAAAGTTATTCTTATTCTTTTTCTGCATAATACCACATTTTTCTAATCTCTTTTCCTCTTCTCTTCTGCATATAATAATAGTCTCTTCCTCTCTACCTCCTTACTGGAATGATGTTTTGTTACTTGTTTTCACTGACCTCAGTGAACCACTCTTGAGTTTACATAGTCATGCTTCCCTCAGTTTTAGTTCCAGAAAAGGATCTCAGGATTTCTAGCCAAGATACCTGACTGGCATATCTCTCCCTGATGGGAGAAGACGCTATAAATGTCACACAAACATTGATAGTGAAATACAGTGACAGAATCACTAAAAGTTCTTTCAGACCCTGGATTAATAAAATATCCTGTGATCTTTTCCCACTGGAATATCTTCTGCCACTTGCCATCCTCTTGCCTCTGACCTCCTAGTGCCAATTATTTGATTCATACTTTGAGCCTGGAAACATTAAACACACATCTAAAGGGTCAAAGACTGGAAGAAGCACTAAAAGGAAAAGACAGTACCAGTTTGAGATACACAGGGAGGTACAGAATTAGCTCAGTTTGAGGATGGTAATAGAATGAAAAGGATGAAACAGGGAATTATGCTTCCCTATACCATGGGAAACCTGATTAAATCCCAGCTTTTCCATAGATCTTCCGAGTGACTTTTGCAAGTTGCTCGGATCCTCAAAGGCACTAAAGCGTTGCAAAGTTTCAAATTCATGCTTAACATCTCATGAAGTTCTTGGCCTGATCTATGTGTCCCTCATATAAAGCACAGACAAGGGGATAGCTGCACAAGCTATCCAAGCAAGAAAAACAGAAGAAAGGGAGAGCAGGTTATGTTTCTAACGTGGTATATCTTACAAGAAACATGCCTAATTCAGCATAGGATCTCAAGCCATGAACTCTTAGGTATAGAGGTGGACTCCTTCACTGGCAGCTGTTCTTCCCAAGTGGCATTGTAGTCAAGGTCACCGAGTCTCAAGTAAATGTCTTAAACAATTCACACATCTGTATAGAAAATTGGGTCTTTTGCTATAGTCATGTTCAGAGAAGGCCAAGAGGATCGAGTATTTATGGTGTTCACCTACTTTATTCATCAAGCTCAAGAACCCACTCTGTATCTGAGCAGCTCTGAGTATGTACACTGTTAGAGGAAACTCAGGCACTAGGAACAGAGACAAGTGTGTCTATATAGAGATGCAAAGGAAGTCTGGATAGTGAGCTTGAGCACTAACTTTCTGCATTCAGCATTTCTTAGTTCACTTCCTGGCAGTTTTGAATCTGTCCAGCTAGCTCTAAGACAAATCTGCTATGGAGAGAGCTAGCACTAAGCGCTGTGGATGTAAGACAACCACTTGTCTTCAGTGGCCCTCACGTGGTTCCAATCCCATTTTATTCAGCAGTATCAGCATGGACCTGGAGGACTTAGCACTACAGGCAGGTGAATGAAGTTTTTTAGCATGCTTATGATGTCTAAATAGTGACTAAAGTGATAGACAGGTACACCAAGCGTCCTTGGTTTAGCTAAATCAATGTCCTTCTCTGCTCTTTGGAGAGAGTTAGGAATCTTGAGAAGTGATTCAGGTCTGTGTGACTTGAGTCCTCTTCTGTTTTCCGTAGACTAAGAGAGGGAGCTGAAGTGACTAACCTCCTAACCTCACTGCATCAGCCAGATGCCTGGATCTGGGCCCCTAATCCTCTTGGGGCTAATTTCCATCCTCACACTGGCGCTTACCTGGCTGTAAGAAACAGAGCTATTGGAATGACTGGGACTAGAGCAGAGGATGTGCTGTGCCTACAACGAAGGATGAAGTATTGCTACATTTGGCAAGGAGGCCAGGAGCTCTTTCTCTGCATCTTCACATACAAGAAAAGCCACTGGGATATTTTTGCCTGTATGGGGACGTCATCACATTATTCCCTTTTTTATAGTTTTCCATTTTGTTTACACCAGTGCTGTAACCCACTTGCTCTCCACATAAAGTTCATCACTTGGAAAACAAGATCCACTTTTTTTTCTTAAAACATGCGTGAACTAAACTATTCTTACAAAACAGACTATTATTAGTTTTAAAAAAAAGTGTCTTCTCAGTAGTTAAGAACAGACGTTTATTATAACTGTTCATTAACAAAATGACCATAAGTGTTCCTAGCAAGAATATTGCATTGCACAAAATCTTGTTTCGTTAGCACATTGCTCCCTAGTCCAAAATTGCAGGGCGGAGACCAAATACCCTGCACTATACAGGTTGCATATTCTGGGACTTTACCATGCTCAAAGCATCATCTTGGCAAGTCATACAGAATCTGAAAACCTGACTCAGCCCTTTCTGAGAACAGTGGTAAAAATCCCACTGTTTTCTCACAGGGCAGCTATTCTTTACATATTTCATAAGATGCACCAATGCCTACAGCTAAAGGTAGAAATAGCAACCTGCCATTCATTTAATTTGCCCATACAGCTTTAACATAGTGCTCAAATTTGAAAGCCTTTGAAGAACGCAATAATCACCCGTAATATTTTTACCAAGGAGATGATAGTATCCCTTAACTGCCCTGTATGCAGTAAGCATTTCATAAGAGGCTGCCAGGACCCGTCCTACTGCCCATGAGGGAGCAGGGCACCAGGGCAGCCCCAGCCCTGGCACTGGGCACCACTGCTGGAATGAGTGCAGGCTAAGGCCAGGCCAGGCAGTCTCCATTGTATCAGGGTCCCAATCAGGC